CCCCAAAACCCCAAAACCCCAAAACCCCAAAACCCCAAAACCCCAAAACCCCAAAACCCCAGCTTGTCAAAAACTTATTGAAACCAGAATTATTAGATTAACTGTGCGATTGGTGTACTATAGCCTGGGCTGGTCAGTGAGGAACAGAAAATAGAAGACTTGGATAGGATTTTGGAATTTTAAGGGGATAAGATTGTTTTTAGAAAATTATTTTAGGGTTATAGAGGATTTTTGGAGTTTTAGGAGGTTGTAGAGGGTAGTTAGGAGGGAGAGTTTTGGTTAGCAGAAAGTTTATAGAAAGAATACATTATCATGCATTAAATTCTCATTGATTTAGTACTTATTTAAGTTTTACATAATCAATCTCTCAAATATTTGATTTGTATTCTTAATTTTTTCATCGTAATTCTTCTTGCGAGAGGGCATTTTAAATGAATGGTCTGATTCGGGTTCTGATTCTTCTCCCTCATTAGAGCTATCTGATACAGAGATATCATTCTTTTTAGACCTAAGTTCTTGGGCCTCTTTAACTTTCTCCAAATGTTTCATAATCTCTAGATCTGAAGCTGGAGATTTCTTGCCAAAATCATTGATCCTCTTCGGTTGAACAATTTGTGGGTTTATACACATTTTAGGGATTGCTAGCATATTCTTCTTTTGTTCCTCTCTTCATAAAGAAGATTTTGTAGTTGGTTTCAGAGTGTTTTGGGCAGTCTCAGACTCATCATAGTTAATATGAGACTTTGACTGTTTGAGTATCTTATTCTCTCTCTTTTCTGGCCCAAGCACTTTGCTGGATTTATTCCGATGCAAGATCTTTTTTGCTTTATAAATATTACTGTTCTTTTTACGAGGTTTTGAACCTCCATCATAACTGACATTGAAATTTTCACCATTGAAGGAGTCTAAGTTGAGGTAGCCAGTAGCTGCAGATTTTTCAAGATCTTTCACTGTGATGCCAAGAACCTCAAGGTATCCCTTGATGGCCTTTAGTTCTTTAAAAATAGATATTCACTCTTTGTCCTTCTGGTTCATCTGAGTCTCATAATATCTAATTTTCATATGAAGATCATAGGGATTGAGGTTGATCAGGTCGTCTTCTACCTCCATTTTGTACAGCTTCTTATTAAGATCTTTGATGAGATCCAGATCCTTCTCGTGAGTCTTTTCTAATGTAAAGTACTTTGTGTCCATAGCAGTTTTACTTTGCAAAAGCTTGTTATGATTAGTAACAAGTTTATCGTATTCCTTTTCAAATTTGTCCAGCTTCTTTTTCAGCCATTTAATTTGTTTCTTATCTTCATGGTGCTTTGCTCTGGCCTTCTCTATCATTTTGACTAGATCAGCGATATCTTTGTCTTTCTTTTCTGAGATCTCGATAGTTTGAAGCAATGAACTGCTCAGAGTTTCTTGGAGGTCTTCAATTTGAGCAGTGAAAGAGACCTTCATTTTGTTCATATCAGTTTCGAATGTCTTCATATGTTTGAATTCTTTGGTGAAATGTTTCAATGAGTTCTTGACTTCAGATTCTATCAAGATGTCAGTAATAAGTAAATCAATAGCCTACCTTTGAAAGCTGAAGAGTTAGGACCCATCTGGAGTAGCATATTCTGAACAGTATCCTTTTGTTTGAGCATAAGAAGTTCTTCTTCGAGCCTGCACTTTTCATCAACGAGTTTCTTATTAAGTTTGGTTAATTCAACTATTTCTTTATTTCGTACAGCTGATCTTCAAGCTGTTGGGGACTGACTTATCAGAATCTTTAGAGGTCTTGGAGAATCTTGATCTGTTGATCCCAGGTGAAAGAATTGATGACTTATTTATGCTAATTATTAAATTAGAGTCAGGTTTTTGAAATCTTCATAATTTGTATAAGCTACTATTTAAAGGAAAATTCTGAATATTGCTTACTCTCACAATTGGTAGTCCAGAGGACATAGGCTCGATAATATTATTAGACATCAATCTCCCAGGTCTCTTCGATATCTATAATTGTAATTAAAACTTGGCAACATGCATCAAAATTGATAGAAATGTCAGTATTTCCTATAATAAATAAGCAAGGACAAGTTATGGTAAATTTTCAAACTGGCTTGCACGCAAAACTCTGAACCTCTCTTGTTTATATTTCAAAAACTAATCAGAAGGTAGGAGGCTAGAGTTAGAATCCGCAAAAACTGTTTATAAATGTTCCATAAAACTTTAGACAAAAGGGATCCGAATAATTCTGAATGTCAAAAAGATTTTTCAGAATTCTGCTGGTAAATTCATCCTATTTTAGAAAATTTTATAGTGTACCTGACGGTCAATCTTTATAGGTAAATCTAGAGATATCAGTCTCTTGGCACTCTAAGCCCCATCGAAATTCCCAGGAGCTGTTCTAAATCTGAACGTACCGATGTCTCTCTCTTAAGTCCCAAATCCTCTATATCTGAATATCTCTTCTTCTGGAGTTATTGGGGCTAGTTATAGTAGTTATTTTTAGATTTCGAAAGTTATTTAAGATCTGTCTTCATTTTGCCTCGTACTACTCTCTTTTTATCAATTTTAGGAATTTTTGTATTCAGGAGTTCTTGGATACTGAGATTCGTGGTTTGATTAATAGCCTGGGTCCTGGTGGGAGACCTACAGTCATGGTTATGAGAAATTCAGAATTTTCATGGTTTTAGTAATGAAGGAGTCTTGAGCGTACCTTCTCTCTAAACTCACGATTTTCCGAGGGTTTTGGGGCACATCCTCCATGATTAGCTTGGAGGTTCCTCCAGAGAACATTGGGAGAGGGGACTGGTTCCTTATCCTCTTTTTGTTGAGGGTGGAGTAGTGGTCTGACCTGAGCTTGTGCAGAGGCTTTTTCCCTTTGATAAACACATGCTTTTTGTCTATATTTTGATGAGGGTTGAGTTTAAATAACTGTTGGAAAGTGCATGATTTAACTTTAGTTATAAAGCTGGTGACTTAATCCATTATCAAAATACGACTATTGCCAAAAATTTGCTGCACTTTAATAATACACAATGGGCATTTATAGCTATTTTTAACTAAAAACAACTCTAACCCAAGTAGTATAACCTCTACTCATCCTCCTCTCTATCGCTCCTACCCTCTATTCATTGATGCTCTTATTCCAATTCCTTCCCATTGTGCTTACCTCTTTGTGAAGGACTTAATAAAATTCTTCTCTTGAGTGAATCCATTTTGAAATATATTATGTAATCCTAAAATTAATGTTTTCACTAGGTTGTTCCTCCCCAGGGGTTTTGGGGTTTTGGGGTTTTGGGGTTTTGGGG